TTCAAAATTTTCGTCTCAATTTTACAAGAGTCCAAAAATTTCTGTTGTGCTTTTATTTTTTCCAGTTGTTGTTCTAATTGATATATAGAAACTTATATACTATTTGTCAGATGTAGTATAAGAATTAGAATGTTTAATTAAATAATTTTATAGCAAATTACAGATATAACAGTTAGTGTAAAATCTGCAAATAAACTACTTAAATAGGTAATTAAAAGTTGCATATTCACTTTATACAAGTTATATAATAATAATTAAAACATAATAAAAACAGTAGTCACTAATAAGAAATAACCTTAATAAAAGTAAAAAAAGTATTTTAATAAAAAAAAATAATTATAATGTATAAATTTTTTTAAAAAAACAAATATATAATGTTTTAATATATTATTTTATTTATAATTTATTGTTTTTTAATAACTAATACAATAAAATATAAAAAATTAGAAAATTAAATAAGAAATAAAAATTTTACTAGTTTTAAAAATATTAGAAATAAAAGTTATTTTAAATTTCATTTAGTATACTAATTACTAAATTTTATTTTATAATATTAAATATATAAATAAGCAAAAAAATATATGAACAACTTAAAAATATATAAATTCAAAGATATGTAAACAACTCAAAAATGTGTAAACAATAAATAAGTATATAAATAATAAATAAATATATTAATAATAAATAGTATATGAATAATACTGTAAATAAGTATATAAACAATAAATAAGTATATAAATAATAAATAAATGCATAAATAATAAATAAATACAATAATAACAAATGAGTATATAAAGTATAAATAAATACATAAACAATAAATAGCTATATAAGCAATGTATAGGTGCATAAACAATAAAAAAATATATGAATAATAAATAAATACATAAACAATAAATAAGTATATAAATAATAAATAAGTGCATAAATAAAAAAATATATAAATAAAAAAATAATGCATAAATAATAACTAGATATATGAATAACTAAGTACATAAATAGATTTGTAAAATGGGTTCATATATAAGATAATTTTAGAATTTAAAAAAATAATTAAAATTTTATTAAGATAATTTGTTTTAGATTATTAAAGATTCTAAGAATTAAAATTTTAATAATTAAATTATAAAATTATAAATTAAATTTTAAATTTATTAATTGGTTTTATTTTAAGATTGTATTATAAAAATTTGTATATATATATTTTAACTATCCCTGATGACAATCATTGTAGAGTGCATGTGTTGCTTATAAATTTATTTTTATTAATCTAATGGATATTAATTTTTAATTAAATATTTTTAATTTAATTACATTATTATTTTGTTTAATATTTAAGAATAATTATATTATTTATATAATAAATACTATTAAGAGGTAATTCATTATTAAAGGATATAAACATCATAATAAAAATCAGCCGGCATTACTTAGTAAAAAAATATTACTATAATGGAATAGCAAAAGGTTTTAACTAATGATACTATGAAAAATAATATTTGTACAAAGTTACAAGTATGTTAAATGAAATCAATAATTTACGTTTCGCGATCATATGAAAATTCTTGCAAATTCGTAAAAGAAATTTTTTTATGATCACGAAACATAAATCATCAATATCTCACGACATATTTGACTAATTTTAACTTTCTTGGTACCATTAGAACCATAACAATCTCCACTACAACTTTTATTAAAAGCACAAATAAAGGTTAACTTAGTGCGTTAATTATTTTCCATGATATAACTAGTCAATTTGGTCCGAAACTAATCCGTGTATGGTCATCGACGTTTTGTCCGATGTAGAGATGGGTTTCATGCGTGCGCATGATTCCGTTTCATGCGCATTTTATCCCATCAAGATTTCTCTCCTCTCGACCGTTTTTTCTTTTTTTGCCTTTTTTTTATCATGCGATATCATGCGCATGAAACATTTCGTGCGCATTTTTCCCATCACTAGTCCGATGTATATTAATAACGAACTTTTGGTATGCTGTGTGATTACTAAACACCATAAATAGTGAAGGTAATGTGATGGGAATAAAGCTGAGTACTAAGCTTATAATATCGAATGCTCTACCAGCCTAATATCAACTGATCTATTAGGTGAATAAGTAAAGATTTGATATTGTGGGTAAAGCAAACATCAAATAATTACGATCACCATTGCTTCAATTATTATAAGGATCTTAATTAATAAAAATTTACAACGAGAAATGCGCAGAGTTATAAAGTAGTCCCTTTTTAGTACAATTACTCCCATTATCAAATATTATACAATTTAGAAAAGACACTAGTTAATAGCATAATAAAGCAAATATAATTTTAAATTACGGATTAAAAGTAAATATCTCAAATTACAAGTTATGATAATGATAAAGGTGGAGATAACAAAATAACGCATAATACTAAAACATAGTCTAATCTATATTTTTTTTTTACAATCAGGCAACATAAGTATACATTTGATATTTTGGGTAAAGTGCACACCAAATAATTATGATAATCACTGCCTCAATTACTATAAGGGACTCAACAAATAACAAACATCTTTGTCGAGGAATTCGTGGAGTTAAAAAGTATTCCGATTTCCACTTGTTGCGCCTTCTGAGCACGTAAGAAAAAATTACACCTATTAATTCTATTGCAATAAGGCACACAAGTGTTATAATAATAGCGAATTTTGAATATGATTTATGACACAATGATTGACCAGGAATAAAATTATTTGTCCAGGTTATACATGGTAAATTCATATCCAATATATAAATAAGCCCATTGGTCTCGACCGATGGACCCATTTCGTTGGTGATGTTTCCTTTTTTTAAAAAAAGACTCGTGTTAAATTTTATTTATAATAAATAAATGTATACATATGACAAATCATTTTAATGATTATATTATGATAATTACCGTAACCAATTATCATATAATTTTGATATGGGGTCACGGAATGAAACGCTAATGGTGGCGGTTGGGCAGAGGCGCCCGGGACTTTTAGTTCAGAATATGTATAAGGTTCTTTTGAAATATCTAACAAAACCAAAACTGGTTTTGCAGTAGATTCATTTAATACATAGCCTATAAATGAAAAGACAATTAGTTTAATTAATACTGAATTTATTTTTTTTTTAAAAAAGTTTATTATTTTTTTTTTTTACTGATAGTTTACTTGAAGACCCGCCAATAATAATAATTGACTTATTGTCTGGCGCCAAGTTAGCTGTATGACCTGATCGAGGTTGAATAAAAGTTGATTCAAATATCGCTTGCTATAAATATAATTGCTATATTATTTAAAAAAAAAAAAATCGCAAGGATTTAATTACTAAAAAAAAAGGGAAGTCCCCAAATACATACCTTAGACGACCAGCTTGAAGAAACTGTATCAAATACTTGGATCTGTAATAAGAGTTTATAAATAAATAAATAATTTTTGTCTACATATAAAGAAAAATTGGCTCAAAAGGACAAAGTTTAGTGTTTCCGACAAGTTGATATAAAAATAATTTTCTTACTTCTTTCATATCTATTGGTGTTCCAGGCTCGCCAGGATTTGTCTGACTAACACCTCCGATGTAAAGGATCCTAGCATCTGGAAGTAACACCGCAGCACTGTGGCTTCGAGGTGTAGGGACATTAGCAGCATTAATCTTACCCCACCTTGATAAAATGGTGTCATAAGTGAATAGATCGTTAAAGCAAATAAATGTGGGCGAGTCCGTATCTGTCTGAGCACGCCCACCAAATATATATATAACACCATTCACTATAACAGTTGAAGTTGATCTACGCCTTATTTGTGGCGCACCAAATGTGGCGACAGATCCAGGTGTCATCCAAATTCGTGCAGTTGGCCGATAAATAAAAATTGTTTGATTTGTTGAATTCCAAGTATTAAGATAACTATTTATCATTAATGTCTGGTTTGAAGATATTGTTGAATTATGATCTATCTGATCAAGGAGGGTGAGATCTTGTTGTACGCCTCCCACAAGCAGTATTTCATCATTAGAAGGGCCACCAATTAATGCAGTTCCTAATGTGCGAATTAAATAATCTAAGAATTTATAATTACAGAATTAACCAAGATTATAAAATAAAGAACTAACCTTTTTCATTTCCATATGGCAGTCGTGAAGGAGTTCCAGTAAGGTCTACATATGGTGGACTAGTTGTAGAGAATGATGATGTAAGATCAAGGTAAAAAACTTCATTTGACAGATTGTATCCGCGAATGAAATTTTTGAACGGACTTGCATTTGGTATCGCACGAGATCCACCCATAAAATAAATTGTATTTTTAAGCAAGACAGCTTCATGTCCGCCTCGGCCTTCAGGGACAAAACCATTCGTTTTTAAAGTCATACATATAAAAATATGTATGAACAAAATAGTTTCTATTAAATATTTTACTCTTAGTTTCCAAAGAGAACGCATGTTTAATGAATACTAATAATACTGAATCAATAAGTTTAAGTATCAATCCCTTAATTAATAACCGATGTTTGCTTGATATTAGAAAGTAATCTAAAACAAATATCCAACTAGTGCTCATTTTATAGCTGATTATCGGTGAATCAGGAAATTCCACACAGAAAACTTTTGATCTTTACGTTAATATAATCTTCATTTTACTAACAATTTGGGATATAGTTTCGAAAGTATTGTACTCATGTATGCTTGTGAGTAAAAAGTTCGAATAACGCGTGTTATACAAATTATATATATTCCAAATTGGTGCGAATAAAATGAAACGTGGGCATGTATTCTAAATTATGAAAATTACGATGTGGTAAATATTCATAGAATAAACTTGGCATTGGACCATTTAAAGTCTATTAGATGTCCCGTTTTCCAGAAATTAAGCAATCAATCGAAGCACCGAATAACCTTCATTAGTTATATACATTGATCGTTTAAAATCTCCTAGTCTGCTTAAAATATTGAATGTTTCTAAGTGGTCTGATATTAATAGGTAGATTATAGTATATATCTATATATTAATATATAAACATGGCAATGGTGGAAAAGTTTGTTTCCATGCGAAAATGGGCGTTCTCAAAAAAAAATTCACTTGTTAAATTAGTATAAACAATGTTCAGAGTATATGCTTTGTTTTTTTTCCTTACATATATATATTAGTAAGTAGAATAGTCTTTTTTTCTTGCATATTTATATTACGAAATAAATACTTTGTTTTTTTTCCTTACAAGTATATTATGCATGGATTCGGTGTTACACGTGATTTAAATGTCTACCAAAATTGGTATGATAAAAACGGAGCAATATGTAAAATATCATTATGTACTTATATGGTTATATGAATTTAATGGCGAATGATTGGGTGATACAAACCCAAAAAGGTAAAATGAAATTAGGATTAGGATTTAAAGTTAGAGGATATATAATTAAATAATTGCTTCTAATATACCAATTGAATTGCGCCCAAGACAGGTTTAAACACTAGTTTTCTTGTATTTTCGCTTTTTTCGTTTTTTTTTCTTGTTTCTTCTTTATGCACACGTGTCGTTGGCTAATCTATGACGTAACTTCGTTACCAGATTTGTGTATTCAATGCTGTCTAAATTAGGTATGATTTGCTGATGTCTGGTTCCTTTCTTTGATAAGCTCATTATCAGTTCTTGTTTTTTTTTTAAAAAAAAAAAGAGAAAATAAAAATATTCATAAATGAATTTAGGTCACACTACCATTATCGTATAGATAAAAGGGAATACCATATCCAATATTTTATATTGTTATAAAGAGAATGGCACCCCAATTTAATTCGGTAATTTGCATTACATATCCACTTCAAAAGGAGGGATGTTTTCAAGGGGTCCACATAGTAAAATTTTCGAATTTTTTTTCCGAAATGACACGAAATCCTTATGTTATTTACTAATTTTTTTTTTTACTATGATGGGGGGTAATGTAAACCACTGAATTAAATTGGGGTGGCCTAAATTACCTATGGATCCCTTGCAGTATTAAACGTTCTCTATTGGAATTCATAAAAAAAACATCTAAGCTACCTAACAGCGAACTACGAGACCCTCATGGATTAAAGCAACCCATCCATGAAAAAATTTTATACAGTTAAACGGTTCCATCCTTAATTTCAATATTATAATAAATTAAGTACAAACGTGACACGTGATAACTGTATAGCACCATTGTTAAATGATAGCGATTTTTTCTTAACGAAGACCAATAAAATGTAAACCGACATTGAGACTTTTTTTTTTGAAAATTGTACTTTCAATTAATCAGTCTAAAATTTAACGTCAAATCTTCTTTATTTAGTATTGAAAACATGGTTTCATAAAGATAATTTATAAATGACTTATAACAATAAATATTATATTTTTAACTTTATAATCATGAGCATGAAGACGAAATTACTCTCGGATTTCTCTTAACTAATTCGGTTGTATTCTAGGAATCAATTCGAACAATTTAACCGCATTATTTCTTCGTGGAATAAATTATTTTAAACTAGGATAATATGAGAATCTCTTATACATTTAATGAATTCAAATAATGCATTTGCATTAGTTTTTCATAAGGGAATTTCAACAATATGCTAAGGCACTCTTAGACTTTAAAAATGCAGAGATTGAACAGAATAAATAATAGTGCATAATAAAAAAAAATACTAACAATACGCTACAAAGCTAATAAACACACTGTTTTTTCACGGGAAAACACGACATTTACTAAAGCAATATTATAAGACATTTAAATTTTAGAGAGGTTCTGGAAATCGATCCTAATAATTTAACTGCTTTGCCTTTCATCAAGTAAATCTTGTAAGGCGTTCTTGAACTTAACTAAAGCGTTAGAAATTAATTCACAAATAAATTCTAATAAATGATAAATATTATAATAAGGAAAATTTATAACTGTACACTGGGTGTTTACCAAAGGTTAGGGTAATTGTGAATTTGAAATCGTGACCGTATAGTATAGAGGTAGAATAGGAAAGAGTAAACAACGAAGCCACAAAAATAATGTGGGGCTAAACAGGTGGCGAAGTCTTAGAAGTATAGATCTGCCCCAATATTTATTTTATTATTCGTCATTTTGATTTATTTTTGTATCTATAGATTTCTTTTATTTGTTATTTTTACAAAGTCTAATTGTTAGATGTGAACTAAATAGTAGAAAGATATTATTAAAATGGGTTATAAGGGATAGGCATGGCCGGGCTGAGTTAGGATGATGGAAATAGTTATAGAAATGGAATACAAAGGTGGACCTAAGGTTAGAATTAGACGTTTGTACTTATTGCGAGTTTTATATGTATTTCGAAAGTATAAAAACGCTGCCTTTTCCCTCTCTAAATAAAGCTTTAGACTTCAATGTCTTGGTTATAAAGAAAATAAGAAGAATCGATTTCTCCCTTGTTGTTATAAATTCTCGTGACGTATTTGTTATTGTTTTACTGTTTTATTGTTATATTATTCTTTATTGTTTAGACTCTTAACAATTATAGTGCATTGTTCGATATTACCTTTATTATTTCACTGTTACCCCTTTGATATTAATAAGAATTAACCTTAAGTATATTACGCTACGTCAGTAACACTTACGCAAGAACTTGTATCCTGATAATTAAGTTGATTTACCGTTTACATCACGCATAGTGGGATGTAAACGGCAAATTAATTTTTTTATCAGAGTATATCACACGATACTCCATGAAGCGGGGTATACTCTAACAAATCTGTCTTTTAAATTTTGCATAGCGTCACGTACATCGAGAAATATTCAGCACCTAGACTAGATAAATTCATTACGTTTTATATTAATTTATGCAAAAATTGAAATTTTACTTAATAAATATTTCTAAACTTTTCATTTTGCAAAAAAGATGCGAAGTTCATTACAGCCTCCAATTTTAATATTGTAAACCGTTACTTCGCTATTTTGCAAGCTAAAGCTAAAATATAAATTAGAACCTAACCAATTATTGAATATATTGAATCTACTTTCCCCACTTTAATGAATACTTATACTATACCAGTCCATAAGTATTGTGAAAAACGTAATAATTGAGAATATTGATATTAAAGAAAGTAGATGCTTGAAGCGAGTTCATGTGTTTCAAGAAAAATCAACAACGCGATACACCTGATTAGAGCTTATCTAGTTAAAGAGATCAAAGTCATTTTCGAAGAGATGAGATAGAAGCCAAAAATTAATAAACATGAAATTAAAAACCCACATAATTTAAGAAATCGGATCACGAATTGTTTTGTGACATTTAAGTTAAAAACTTATAATTCACTTAATATAATTTGTCAAAAAAAAAAACTCCTCAAATTAGCAATTTAAATTTTTTTTTTAGAATGTTGAAAAAGAAAGTCTGTAACATTGTAAGCATATGAAATATTGTTTTATTTAATTGAAAAAAGTTTTTTATCAATGAAAAAGCTTTATAACGTCTCAACTCTTTCTATAGCGAATTGACAGTAGAAAAAAAGTTCGTTATAAAAAATTGCTATGTTTTATTAAGAACCCATTACCGAACTATTGTGAAATTTAAATATTTAAGTTCGTTTTATTCAAGTCTATTGAATATTTAATATAGATAGATATATATGTGTAGGGATGGGTTCGGTCACAATCATTCATAGTCAATTTGCTAAATACTGAGATGATTTTTTACTTTTGAGCTTTTAATTAAAGTTGTTC